CGCGAAGCTTTCGTCGTCCTTCCGGACAACATCTTCGGCGCCATATTTAGCACAAAGTGAAATGATTTAAATTTCTTCATACGTGATGTAATTGCGTCTCCTGGTTACTATCTTCACATATGTATTGACCACTTTCTATTGACTAGGATTTTAAACTTTTTGGTCACCTGATTTACTTTTTATTATTTGGTATATTTCATCTATATTAACGTGTTTGTTAATCGCATTTTCGCTTGAGTACCAGGCTTCTAGGAATTCTCTGGCACTTTCCGTGTTTCCTCTGTTTAAGATTTTGACATGATCCCAATCAAACTGATGACCATAGTTGTCTGCATGCATTGATACTAAAGAATACATATCATGTCTTTTCACGGCTGATTTATGTTCTTGGATTCTGATTCGAAGGAGACGCCCACTTTGGCCGATGTAATGTTTGTTGCAGTTCATACAATTTGTTTTGTAAATGGTATTAATTTTATCCGCTTTTTCTGTTGGATCTTTTGGTTTGCATAACATCGAATTAAGCGATTTTACTGGTTTGTGTGCTATATCTATATCTAACGATTTCAGTATTCTGGCTGTTATTTCAGAGATATTCCTCATGTATGGTAGAATGAATTTTCTTGTGGTCTTTGATGATGGTTTCTTGTTGGTGTTTTGATTCGACTTTAAACACTTTTTGATGAAAGTTTGTGGATATCCATTCCTCTTTTTGAAGACCGTTTGTAGGTACTTTTCTTCCATTCTTTTCAACTCTGGAGTGCAAACTGAAGGGAATCAAATGTGTAAAATAATATTTTTTGATGACCAATGTTTTTACTTAAAAACTTTATAATGTGTTTCAACTGGTGAGTGGACAGACAGTATTCCAAATCTTGGCGAAATGACAAGTGATTACCACTCTTTGTAGAAGTGGTATCATACACTCATTGTATCAATATACCAAATCAACAAGTTATCTATTCGTCAGCTTAAGAATAACCTATCACAGGAATACAACAGGAAAATATTGACGGAATAAAATCAAATTGTAATATCATATTCCATCGATATTACACTGTTGTCAACATAGAAGGAATGATATGAGTTAGAGAAACAATGAAAATTAGTGGGTACTGGATAGCTATTTCGTCACACTTTAGGTTTCATCAGCAATATGTACCTATCATGAATATTCTCTAGCTTTCAATGATTCTCTAACTGATATCAATCCATGGTGAAACTTGAAACAAATCAGATCCCTTCAAACGAAGTTACTCTTTAAAATATGATTTCACATCGACTAGGTTCACATGAATTCCAAACATAAACTTCTACTCAGTTCAATTTCAAGGATTCCCGTCGATTGATTGGACCGATGTGATCGGTCTCAGGTTGACATGTTGATGGCTTCTTGTGCAGATGCTTCGACGATGTCTGAGCATTCTGGATTCCACTGCTAGCCATCATCATCCATCAATAAACTTCTACATCGAAATTCTTTCTCTTGTATAAAATGAATCACTTCATTAAGTCTATTTCATCACTGAACTATTCAATAAAATGAAATGAATATACCAATGATGTCAGACGTGACACGTGAACTCTGTAACAAAGCAACCTAAAGTAAATTAGATATATATATGTATATATATGTAGACGTCACAAAATAACATAAAAACACTGCATAGCTAAAAGATCAATATGAAATATTTGGAATTAGATTTACTTGTCTACTGCATTATTCTCAAGTATTTCTTTGTTGGGGGTTTTGTTTGATTAGTTGGAGGATTTCATCATAAGCTGATATCAGTTAGAGAACCTTTGGAGAACCTGTAGGGAGTACTGAGCAGCCAGCTATTTCGTCAACCCCTAGTTTCGAACTCTTCATCAGTACGCACCCACCACAGGGGTTCGAACTGAGAACCCTCTGGTTACAAGGTGAACTCGTCAACCATTAGGCCACTGGGACCCGATCTAATAGCCATCCCATGAATTTTTACTTCAAGTGGGAAATCGCGACCAGTAGGGTGCAGCAAGTTGAAGGTGAGACAATTACTCACCGAAAAAGACATTGTGAAATGGTCAGCTATGTCGTGATTTTACCGAAGTCAGAATTCATCAACATCTGTCTTCGCTCTATACTCAACATCATATATCCAGAATACACCAGCAACAGAGATCCCTGGTAATGAACCAACCGAACACGAGCCAGTTGTGCAACAAATATACAGGAAGAAATGAAGGTGGATTGGCTGGATATACTCTGAGAAAACAAACCATCAAGTGAGTGATATCACCCTCAATGCAGGCCACCACTCAAGTGGAAACCGAATGGAAAGCGGCAAGTTGGTTGTCAGTACGAGTGTGACATGGAGGAGGCAGTGATTCGAAGAGGAGATGAAAGCATGTGTGTAGACGAGGAGCCAGGTGGAAACGTTGGCAGAGAATCGATCACAATGGAGACGTTTGACCGAAGCCCTATGATCCTCTAGGAACTAAAGGAAACAATAATATAATATATTTTGGATACGTTGATTTTATAATGTTTTCTTTGCCACTATTCAAACATTGAAGTGTGTCAATGGCATTCCTTTATAGCCATTGTCATTCCAATCAGTTTGCAGCAACTAATGAGGACCTGTGAGATAGGATGATGATATCACACTTTATACTGCAAATCTCGTCCTTCTTTCTTCCTTTCGTTATTCAAACATATGAAGGGAACCAAATGTATGGAAAATGTTTTCGAATACATAGTTTAGACCTTTGCTCATTTACAGACAGCTATACTTTCGGTTTCACACAATTAGAGAAACAGTAGGCAGTTACAGCGACCGAACTTAACTCTGTAGATATCTTAGAAAGACAAATCACATGCGGTTTTTGAGAAACTTCATGCATTTATTCCCCTTGATGAATTTGAATAAAGCAAGAACAAAAGTGGTTTGTGCAGAATAATATGGTACCATCATTTATTTCGTAGGCTTCTCATCAGCTGCTTAAAGCCTAAATAAATTATGAGGTTTGCGTACAGAAAAGTTTTAAGATACTTGCAAATTTTTTACATGTTGCCAGTTGACAAAAAGTTCTACAGTAAGTGAACAGTGCTCAGAAAATTGCGCTTATATAGTTTTTACACAGGCAGTTCAAGTTTAAACAAAATAGATGTATGCAGCTGCAGCTAAGTTGGTTCCCGTCCATCGAACAACATGCTCTTTGGTGCAATTAAAAGTCGATAGATACCCTTCTCATGTCAAGTCCAGCTGTGTATACAAATTTACGTGTATCTGCGGGAGCAGTTACATTGGGAGAACAGAAAGAAGGATACACCTCCGATTTTCTGAACATGTGCCAAAAAGCCTACGTCTCAAGGGAACAAACTCTTATAGCAGCGCTATCACTAGACATCTTCTCGACACGGGTCATGAGGTAGAAATCGAGAAATCCTTTAAAATTATCAATAAACAAAGGAGTTCCATTCTCCTCAAGTTTGCCGAAGCAATTTCTATCAAACGCTTGAAACCAGATTTATGTGTTCAGAAAGAAGCAGTTATTAATCTTTCTTTGCCCTGGTAACTGAAAATCTTTATTCTCTCATCTGATTACGTAATCTTTGTCTTTAACCTCACTCCCTTTTATATTCTGTAATTTCGCTTGTCTCTTGTTTCTATGACTTGAGTTGAACTCAGTACATTGTTACCTAATTTATTAGTCACTCTGTATCTAACTCATATTTCGTCTTTATTACGTAACTCTTTTACTATTGTGTGTATACATCTATTTTGTTTAAACTTGAACTGCCTGTGTAAAAACTATATAAGCGCAATTTTCTGAGCACTGTTCACTTACTGTAGAACTTTTTGTCAACTGGCAACATGTAAAAAATTTGCAAGTATCTTAAAACTTTTCTGTACGCAAACCTCATAATTTATTTAGGCTTTAAGCAGCTGATGAGAAGCCTACGAAATAAATGATGGTACCATATTATTCTGCACAAACCACTTTTGTTCTTGCTTTATTCAAAATCACATACGAGTGAATCACCTGACGCATGTAGGTGTTCACAGATTGAAGATTTCATCATCCTATGCTCACATTTCACCAACCAGACTGGATAATATTCAGTAACGCATTAATTCAGAGCACGCTTAGAAAGTCTACTGTAATCAGCTCGAAAGGAACATATCGAAAGAGAAGGAGAGGGAGAGAAAGAGTAAACGTGGAATACGAATTTCCGATTTCTTCCCTTTCCATATTCATTTCCTGTTTACTAGTATTCAGCCGTCACAGATTTCAACATCTTTCGACAATGTGGATCTTATTCATACCATAAATATATGACCTAACTTATAATCAAATCGAGGATCATAGAGTTACCAGTTAGATACTTTATCGTTTAGTTAGTGAGTTGAAATCCATGTGGTTGTGAGTTCCAACTTGAACCTCACTGAAATATAAAGCCATCTCCTTTTCAATCTAATTCACAATTAAGCTTTATCTTACCGAACCTAATGGAAGTTATCACTGGCAACATCTTATCAGAAATTTATAGACTCGCCTGAAAAGAAGGTTCTTATTTTCATTCAACCAGATGTGCTAATGTTACACTGGCACAGGTCTTCAGTTATCTATTTATCTAGACTAGATTATCATGAAATATAGGTTTACAAAGTTATATTACATATGCAGACATATATATGTCATTTTATCCTTTTCTCACTCTGAAAATCAATGAAAGCACCATGAATTCATGTTTGCACCAAAGATGTCCTAACTAATTATCTAGATATTATCTAATTAACCACATAAAATTTGAAATACACCAACAATATGCAAAAAATAAAGATGTCAGTCATGTTTCACAACCTCATTAATTAACCATACAATACAGGTGAATTTTAGAAACAGTTCCAGAAACTCTTTCATGACATGAAATTTGGTGTAAGCGTTACTTGTTTTAACTCATCCATATCTTTAATTTAATTTTTTTTCTACAATATATATATATAAGCTGTTGTATGATTTTGCATGTTTCATCTTTAAAAATGGGCTTTGGATTCAGATGCTGTCAGTTAGTGCTTGTTATATTGAATATTGGTGTCTTTGTAAGTTTTGCTATAGATATTATTATTATTGTTATTATTATTATTTGAATAGATCTGTGGTATTGTACTCATTTCTGCAGGATCATATGCCCTCAATTCTGTTGTAAATCACTGGAAAGAAGTAGAACGTCCGCTTCAATATATCATAATCTTTATCATTACACTGGGATGTATTATTTTTACTCATGGAGCATTAGGCATACTTGGTGCATGCACAAAAAGTGTTTGTCTTTTAGCAACGGTAATTCCGCATATAACTCCTTTCAGAGAGACACTTTTTCCCCCTTTCTCCCCCTCGCACCCCCCGTAGTATTGTATTCTGCTTGTGATTTTAATTATTTGTCAGATAACAGCTGGAACAATCGCAGTTATACATAAGCCAAAGGTAATGAATGATTTAAAAATAGTGTAAATCACTAAACTACATAGGTTAAACAAGAAATTACTGATGCCCTGAGACCACTTGTAAAACGCTTCTACAGTGACAAAAATGTAAAACCGGTCGTGGATGAAATTCAGCAAAAGGTAAGGTGAATGTTGTAGTTTACGCTTAATAACTTAGTTGAAATGTTGCGGTGCCGGCTCATCCCATGACTATGGAAAGAATCCGCCAATCTCATGTTATGATGATAGGGAAGAGCTGTTTAAAAAGGTAAAGCATATTCTTCTTTTATTTTATTATTTCATTTTCACTATTTATGATGCATATAAAAGTCTGAATAGCTGAGTAGCCTAGATACTTCATATTCTTATCAATCTACAATTTTTTTAATTAGTCATGTAAAGAACTAACTTTTATAGAAGTTAGAATTCATGAGCCATTGAATCGGGTCCCAGTGGCTGAATGGTATACGAGCCAGTTTGGCTTGTAACCGGAAGGTCCTGGGTTTGAACCCCCTGTGGTGGGTGCGTACTGCCGATGATTCCAAAACTAGGATGAAACAGCAGCTGTCCAGTACTCCCTGGTTTTCAATGATTCTCTAACTGATATCAATCCATGATCAAATCGTTAAAATATGAAACGATCGAACACTCGAAGCTCTCTCACTTAGTACGCTATGCTACTTTCACATTACTTTTAAAATCATCAATTCTTCAGTCGTCCAAATTTGAATTCTAAAATAAAATAATTTCGTGAAAAAAGTGGTATAACAAAATAAAGTCTAATCTTTAAAAACCAACTATTGAAAACTAATCTGATACTCGTTAGTGAGTGACTGGCTAAAGGACAGAGTTTCCTGCAGTTCTAGTGAGAAGTCATGACCAGTGAAGTCCACCTAGACGTCACGTGTGAGGATGAATGTCCTACCGATGATATGAGCTGGTCTCATTTGCGCTAAATTACTAATTCGTAGAAGTTAGAATTCATGGGATGGCCGTTGAGAAGTGTCGTCGCAGTGGCTAAGTGGGATACGAGCCAGTTTACCTTGTAACTGGAAGGTCCTGTGGTGGGTGTATACTGCCGATGATTCTCAAACTAGGCTGATGAAACAGCTGTCCAGTACTCCCTGTGGGCTGGTTTTCAATGGTTATCTAACTGATAACAGTCCGTTTATTGGATATATCACACACACACATTGAAGCAGTATCACTGTCCACTGGAAGACAATGTTTCGAACACAATTTATCACTGTTTATAATCATATCAATTATATCAATCACACAACTTCGGAACTTGATTTTCAAGTGTTGGTTTTATAGTTTTCTTTATTCTTTCCTATTGGTCGTCATAGGAGTAGTAGAACTTTCCAGGTATCCCGCTGGACAGCTGTTGAACCATTCATATTACACGTATTTTCATTCAGTTTATTCGATAAATAAAGTCTCAGTCAGTCATCAGTCTCTCCTTCCCTCCACCATGTTATACTAGACTTTAAAACTGTCATCTTATCCCATCCATCCAATTCTAGTGTGAGTGTGTGTGTGTGTAACTGCATGTAGTGCTATCCATAGCCAAACTATTCTCTAGATTTCTTATCTCATTCAAGTCAACTTATCTAGACTTTGCGGCTAGGTTTTTGTGCCCCGTAAGTTTAACTAACCCTGCTCCACCAAGTTGACTCACGTATGTGACCTAACAGTCGTTGTAGGGTATTAGATAACTTAGACTGTTTTGTTTTTTATTGGCTCTACGGAATCCTTTAATCCAAAAAGCTTGTTTCTAAGTGAGTTTGTGGGTGGTACGAATGCCATTATTATTAATTTTATTTATATATTTTCCAAAATACTTTCTGATGAATTTATCAGGGTAATTATTAAGTTTCAAAGTTTCTCTTACATAGATTTCTTCTATAGATCTTGCTGGTAGGTTTTCGTGCTCCACTAGTCTGACTGACATCTTTGTACTACTTTGACCTATGTATTTGATCTGACAATCATTTCAGGCAGGGTATTAGGTAAACTCAATTGATTTGTTTTAAAAGCATCATAGGACTGATCTTTTAACCGAGAAAGCTTGTTTCTAAATGAGTTTGTGGGTGGTTTGAATTCCAGACACTTTTATTCCTGCCTGTATTGTTAATAATTCACCAGCATAAGGTTTCCATGATTCCTTCTTTGTATGGAGGTACTACTGATGATTTAGATTTCTTATTGTTGGAGTTGTCATTATCGTGCGCAAGTTCGACATGCATGTCGTCATTAATATTATTAATACTATTATTACTATTATTATTGTTATTACTATTATTATTATTATTATTAATTCTATTTTACATTTCCCTACATACTTCCTGACTAATTTATCAGGGTAATTATTAAATTTCAAAGCTTCTTTTATATGCCGCACTTCCTGTCTTTGATTTTCCTTAGTACTCTATAGTTTTTGTGCCCTATTACTTAATTATTTCACCAATCACCAATACTTGAATGCTATTTTAAGTGATCATCCAATTTTTAAAGGCAAATAGGAGAGAACAAAGAAGACTTTGATAGGATTATGAACAATAATAGATTGTGTTCGAATCCTTATCATCCAGTATGCAATAATACTGTTTCACTGTGTGTGTGATACATCTAACATACAAATTAAAATGAACAAATATTTTCCAATAGGCACATTTTAAGTATTTGTGCTCATTCTCAAGATAAGTGGCAATAGTGACACATGAAATAGTGATACAGGTTAGCAATATGAAAACTTTATTAAACACTTAGACTGTTCTTATTTAAAACAATAAGTTCCCTTTATGAATTTAGACAAAACAATAAGAAGATGTAATTTGTCTGAATCGTGTGTAATGTTGTATTTGCGAAACGGATTTCGAACAATCTGATCACACACGGACTTGTTATAGGAACGATATATATGTGTGAAATTAATTGAGAGTTAGGAGGTGAGAAAATAAACTACTTAGGTCAAGTTAAAAGGACATATTGCAGGTCAAAATAACAATGAAGATGACTAAACCAAATAACAGAGGTAATAGTGCATCTACCCTGACTGGTATCAAAACAAAGTTTACTAAGGAAGGTTTAGTGTGATGACCAATTGTCACTTAGAACGTATAAAGGTGGTTCCAACTTTCGAATTGCTAGCTAGAGCATCCACAAACTTTAGGATACATCCTCCACCAAGCATGTTTTAAAGATAGGTTTAAAAGATGTGTGTGTCAATTTTATGTTCTATCTCTAAAATATGTTTGGCAATAGAGGAGCTAGGTCTCCTGTTCTCACCATTAATGGATTCTGAGGATTCTATTTGCTTCTGGAGCCATTTAGCAGTATGCTCTGAAACTAGCCCTTAATTGCAGAGATCAATGAGTCCTCCCTATGTAAACTGTTATTAATATGCATAACTTTGATTGGTTCACATTTACTAAGGTAAAGAAATCAAAACCCGTATACAGTTGAAATGTAATTTACCTCTCTCTGTGCTGTTGATTCATCCTGAAAAATAAATTAAAACACTTTTCAAGAGTTGGTTTGTAAGGATTATTTTTTGTTTTTATTAGTTTGACCACGGATTGATATCAGTTTGAGAATCACTGAAAACTAGCCCACAGGGAGTACTGGACAGCTGTTTCATCCCACTAGTTTGGGAATCATTGGCAGTACGCACCCACCAGCAGACGGTTCAAACCCAGGACCTACAAGCCAAACTGGCTCGTATACCATTCAGACACAGGGACCTGATTCAGTGACCAGAACATGAATTCTAACTTCTACCAATTCGTGATGAATTTAGTGCGACCACAAACCAATGTCAACGGCAAGACATCCATCCTCCCACTTGACTGATGACTCAGTCACGACTTCTCACTAGAACTGCAGGAAACTTCTTCCTTATAACTCAAAATATTCATACGTAAAGTATTTAAATATCACTAAAAATTCATATTCATGATATGAATATATAAGGGAGTAAAACTGTTGGAAATAATTGTAGAAGTAGTAGAATATTTTGATAAGTTGAGTGACGTGATCAGTTTCTCAAACTAATTGGGTTAAGAACGTCAACGTGAAAGGAATTGAAATCTCTGCTTTCTGACACGTATGAAGTAAATTAATCAACTGGTATACAAATAGAAGTAAGAGATTTTTGCAAAATTCGCATGCAGCACTCACTAGATCATATTTTTCAATATAATACAACGGTTGCTTTATTGTTGGCTACATACAACCGCTCATTCTCTTTCAAATACTTCTCTTTTCAGGGATGTATTGAAAAGCTCAGTGAATTGGCTAAAAAGAATATGAATACCATTATAACCTGCGTATTCTTATTTGCGGCTTTTCAAACAATCTGTTTATTATTCGCCATTTGTACTATTGTAGCCATAAAACAAGATGAATGATTTCAAACAGCATGTAAACAGCAAGTGAAAAGAGAGAGAGAGAACTTGGAACAAAGCAAAATATTAACGTATATTATTTGAATTACAATGCACTTTTCTAATTCATCGATAGTGTCTACATTCTCCTTGGATTTACACTCTGAAAACCTTTCATACTAGGAAACCTTCTTCAATAATCCGTATAACATTACAACGCTTTATTTATCTATGTGATTGTCTGTTTCTATCTTCAGTGTATACTGGGAGCTGTTGATTTTTGAAATAAAATAAAATTGAAACCATCTTCTCTAGTGTTTCAACTGTCAAATTTACAACACAAATTGTTTATTAGAAGGGAAGTTGCATTCTGCTTTACTCAACTAAGTTGTACATTTATTCTCAGAGAAATGTTAGGGCTGGTTGGTCAGCGGAAGACTACAATCAGTGAAGAGTAGTTACTTGCGTGAGTGAGTGAGATGATGGAAGTCACGTATAGCAGTAGACACTGAAATCATTTAGATGTCATTTAGAGGTGTGATTTCCTGCGTAAAAAGGACTAATTAGCGTATCAAACTAGCTATGAATCAGATTCTAGTTGAGAATGGAAGGCTTCAAGTGTACGTTGGTCCTCTGAGATTTCACTCTCTAGTAGAAAGAGAGACACAACATAGATAAGGTCCACAGTCATTCAATGGAATTTCGAACATCGTGATTAGATCTACTCTCTGTCCACTGTAGAAAAGGGGAAGAGAATTAAACTGTTAACTTCTTTCTCAGATGATAGACCAATCATACTAGGAGTCATACAAACAGCCACTCTTTGAAATATTTCTAGAATAAATTATTCCAATTTGAGACAAAAGTCGACTATTTGAATGTAGTCTTTAGTCTTGACCTTACCACAAATGTATTTAAAGTGGTGAACATTTCACTGGTGATTCTAGAAAAGCCCCTGTCTATTGTCTGTAAAAAATGAAGGCTGTGAGCTCTTCGAGACTTACACTAGCAACCAGATCTGTGTGCATATGAATAGAAGAAAGTGGCACGCCTCTTTTGTGACCTAACGCTTGCGTATCCCATGCGTATGGTTGCTCAATTTGGCGTGTTGATAAGGAGCAGTCATTCTTCGGACCAATCTAATACACTGTTGATATCTATGTGCAATGCAAGTCTATTGATGTTACATTTAGGCTCTCTCCGAAATTTTAGTACACATTTGTGAAGAGCTATAGGCGATTTGGTTAGTCCAGTAAATTCATTGACATACAGGTGCTGGATCGCAGCACGTTGTGGTTCACCACTATCTGCCTGTGTGTAGGAAACAGATTTGGACCGCCTACGTGAACGAACTAACAGTCACTTAGCCAGTCTTTCGTGTAGATCGTCAACTTCCACTCATTTTATATATTTGAAATATCTGGGGAATTGGAATATGAAGTCCGGGTAAATGTGAACAGAATCTGTCGCGTTTTATCGTAATATTGTCAAAGTTGGTGCTGTGCTTCGTGGTAAATCTTGTTCAGAAGCTCTCCAGAAGTCCTGTATGATAACTCCAGCTATTTCCTTGACATACTTGGTTGTATCTATATGAACAGTCAGTCTGAATACCACGAAACAAATCTTACTGTCGACATTCATGTGGGAAAATTATTCCGTCGCTGTGTTTTGGTTTAAATGCAATTCGAATTTCATCCGTGATTGACAAACCTCTTCAACAGCTTTGTTTCAAGCATCAGTTAACAGCTCTCTGCCTTCTGAAGTCCTAGGAGAGATAGGCACGTACCAGACATATTGATCACTCTTCAATGGTTCAAGAATCTCCAGGTTTATCCGTCCAGAGTAATGCTTTTCACCCTCATAAGTAGCTTTCTGGATTTAAGCTTCAGTTACATAGGTGTATAGTTGAATGAATCTACTCAGTGCGGCTTCTACATGGGCTTTCATATATGCAGTTCAGTTATCTGATAAGGCTGAAGAAATAATAGCATTTATGTCAGCTTTCCACATATTTGGTCAAGCTGGAGTACGAGTCCCAGATACTCCTGCAGCTGTGAACAAAAAGTTCAGGACATCGTGCTCGCTGTCATATTTTCCAGGATTTCTGGGTCACCTAGACTATCCAGTCTACTTAATTTATTCCAGGAGATTTCAAGTCTTACTATAGAATACCGTTATTTTAGCTCGATGCATCCACTCTCGGTGGCACAGTGGTTAGGACTCTCACCGACCATGCACATGGTTCGAGGTTCGATCCCCTGCCGACGCACACCCAATATCTATGGTCGGCCTGTAAATTTGGGCTACCTATAAACATGCTGAGAATTCCATACTTGTACTGAAAATACGGTGTGGCATCAAGCTGTAATAAAAAAAATAATAAAGAAATTCAGATCTGTGGGAAACAACAAACTCCGAACACTCACTATCTGTAAACCAAAACGAAAAGTGTTTCATCGTCAATGTGAGACCATTTACCTAATTTCAGCTCATCAGACTACCTCTCCATGCGGTCTCCTACGTACAGGTCTGCGTGGAAGTAAGTGACAGATTCATTCAGTGTGTGAGCACCACTCAGAAAGAAAACTTCATGTCTGCTGCTACTAGGGTTTTCTAATAATGTCACATATCAATATTTGATAGTCACCTTTCTTAAGGGGAACAAAGAGATATTGCTTTGGAAAAAGCTGACAGCTGCTGTCTAAACTAAACCGAATTACCACAGTTCAAAATAAAAGTTTCATCAAGAGGACAACACGAAACTGGGAACCCAAAATATTAAAAACAAACCTTCAACCAAAAGTTAATCACAAGATCTAGTGAAAAGAACACTATCTTTATCAAGAACAATTGAGGCTCTCGTTAATCTACAGGCTTTTGTGTTTATAATCAAGCAAGAAGGTGTAGAAATTCATCCGGTTCTCAAAGTTTGCATTGTATGGTTTTAATTCATGGAAAATTCCCATTGTAACATGTAGAAAATAAAAACAAGTGATTCAGCAGAGAGACTCTTTTCAACGAATTTATTATCAAGCTGTACAATCGTATATAAATGGTTTTTAACATCCCACTGTTGACCACCTCTGTGTGTGTTTATCAATTCACCTGCTCGTATGGAGCAAGGTATATCGATCGTTCGACTCGAGTTTTGTCTAAGAGGGTGCAAGAACCCCATCCTGCATGGTAGTTACGAAGAGGTGGAAGTGGAGCAATAAGAAGCGCGACCAGTGAATATCTGGTTGATAATGATCACCCAATGTCTATAGCCTCCACCTTTAAAGTCATCTACAAGGCAAAAAGTAACTTTAGGAAATCACTACGTACCCAACTCATCTGTGGCTATCGAAACAGAAAAGCCAAATCTTTGTGTGTCCAGAAAAAGTTCTTTCAACCCCTCCAACTTTCATGGTCTTAATCCCTCTATGCTAAAGTATGGTAATTCCTAATCATATTTTGGCTCTACCAATTTTTCATTTTATCATTTTTGTCCATTCAATTCGTGTACTCTTCCTTTATTACATCAATTGTTACTACTACTACTCTCACTTTTAATTGTCCCCGGTATTATTTCACTTGTTCCACTTGTCATTCTAAATCAATTCCTTTTTACAACATTTAATTCTACGCTATCAAATTTCGCACAATATTACGTGACGTTTTTATTTTATTAGATTTGCCTACTAATCCTATAAATGCATACCCTTTCCAAGTTCTATCCATCCTATGAATTATTCTATATATGACATTAATTGTTTTGCCACTTGACATAGAACTATGATTATAATCACAAACATTTTAGTTTTGATTGCATTTCATACTACTACTACTACTACTACTACTACTACTACTACTACTACTACTACTATTACTATTATTATTATTATTATTTTATGCATTCACACCAAAGATTCAGTTCCCTCATTGGATAGAACTTCTTAAAAACTACATGTATGTATGATTGTACAGCTTGACAATAAATTCGTTGTTGAAAAGATTCTTGTATGGTTTTCACTGATAAATCTTTTGACATCGATGACCACACCGTAAGCAGTAAGACTTCAACAATACTAGTCATACGATCGATGCAGCGAAGATCCACCCACTACACCTTGATTAATGAACACCTAACATACTTGTAGTGAAGTGTATTAAAGTTACTTACCAAATGTACTATGTTTCACTTTTCTCTAATTATATGTAGCCGCAAAATCTATCTGTCTGTATATGGACAAAGATCTAAAATATATATTCGAAAACATTTTCCATACATTTGTTTCCCTTCATATGTTTGAATAACGAAAGGAAGAAAGATAGAAGGACGAAACTGATAGTAATAGTAGTAGTAGTAGTAGTAGTAGTAGTAGTAGTAGTAGTAGTAGTAGTAGTAGTAGTAGTAGTAGTAGTAGTAGTAGTAGTAGTAGTAGTAGTAGTAGTAGTAGTAGTAGTAGTAGTAGTAGTATGAAATGCAATCAAAACTAAAATGTTTGTGATTATAATCATAGTTCTATGTCAAGTGGCAAAACAATTAATGTCATATATAGAATAATTCATAGGATGGATAGAACTTGGAAAGGGTATGCATTTATAGGATTAGTAGGCAAATCTAATAAAATAAAAACGTCACGTAATATTGTGCGAAATTTGATAGCGTAGAATTAAATGTTGTAAAAAGGAATTGATTTAGAATGACAAGTGGAACAAGTGAAATAATACCGGGGACAATTAAAAGTGAGAGTAGTAGTAGTAACAATTGATGTAATAAAGGAAGAGTACACGAATTGAATGGACAAAAATGATAAAATGAAAAATTGGTAGAGCCAAAATATGATTAGGAATTACCATACTTTAGCATAGAGGGATTAAGACCATGAAAGTTGGAGGGGTTGAAAGAACTTTTTCTGGACACACAAAGATTTGGCTTTTCTGTTTCGATAGCCACAGATGAGTTGGGTACGTAGTGATTTCCTAAAGTTACTTTTTGCCTTGTAGATGACTTTAAAGGTGGAGGCTATAGACATTGGGTGATCATTATCAACCAGATATTCACTGGTCGCGCTTCTTATTGCTCCACTTCCACCTCTTCGTAACTACCATGCAGGATGGGGTTCTTGCACCCTCTTAGACAAAACTCGAGTCGAACGACCGATATACCTAGCTCCACACGAGCAGGTGAATTGATAAACACACACAGAGGTGGTCAACAGTGGGATGTTAAAAACCATTTATATACGATTGTACAGCTTGATAATAAATTCGTTGAAAAGAGTCTCTCTGCTGAATCACTTGTTTTTATTTTCTACATGTTACAATGGGAATTTTCCATGAATTAAAACCATACAATGCAAACTTTGAGAACCGGATGAATTTCTACACCTTCTTGCTTGATTATAAACACAAAAGCCTGTAGATTAACGAGAGCCTCAATTATTCTTGATAAAGATAGTGTTCTTTTCACTAGATCTTGTGATTAACTTTTGGTTGAAGCTTTGTTTTTAATATTTTGGGTTCCCAGTTTCGTGTTGTCCTCTTGATGAAACTTTTATTTTGAACTGTGGTAATTCGGTTTAGTTTAGACAGCAGCTGTCAGCTTTTTCCAAAGCAATATCTCTTTGTTCTCCTTAAGAAAGGCGACAATCAAACAGTTGTCCCGATGTGACATCATTAGAAAACCTTAGCAGCAACAGACACACTGTTATTTTCCTGAACACCGCCTACACTCCAAAGGAATATGTCACTTACTTCCACGCAGACCTGTACGTAGGAGACAGCATGGAGAGGTAGTCTGATGAGCTGAAATTGGGTAAATGGTCTCACATTGACGATGAAACACTTTTCTTTGTGGTCTCCACATAGTGAGTGTTCGGAGTTTGTTGTTTCCCACAGATGTGAATGTGGAGAGTGGATGCATCGATCTGAACTAACGGTACTGCATAGTAAGACTTGAAATCTCCTGGAACAAATGAAGCAGGCTGGATAGTTTAGCTGAATCAGAAATCCTGGATAACATCACAGCGAGCACGAGGTCCTGAACTTTGCGTTCACAGCTGCAGGAGTATCTGGGACTCGTACTCCAGCTTGACCAAATATGTGGAAAGCTTACATAAATACTATTATTTCTTCAGCCTTATCAGATAACTGAACTGCATATATGAAAGACCATGTAGAAGCCACACTGAGTAGATTCATTCAACTGTACACCTATGTAACTGAAGCTTAAATCCAGAAAGCTACTCATGAGGGTGAAAAGTATTACTCCGGATGGACAAACCAGGAGATTCTTGAACCAGTGAAGAGTGAACAATATGTCTGGTACGTGTCTATCTCTCCTAGGACTTCAGAAGGCAGAGAGCTGTGCTGTGCAGCTAGAAACAAACCTGTTGAAGAGACATATCAGTCACTGATAAAATTCGAACTGCGTTTAAACCAAAACGCAACTGCGGAACAATTTTCCCACATGAATATCAATAGTAAGACTTGTTTCATGGTATTCGGAGTGACTGTTCATATAGATACAACCAAGTATGTTAAGGAAATAGCTGGAGGTATCACAGATGATTTCTATAGAGCTTCTAAACACTATTTACCACCAATGATAATATTGACCCCGGCCATGTTACGATAAAACGCTACACATTCTACCTGAACTTCGTATTCCAATCCCCCAGCTATATCAACTATATAAAATCAATGGACCTCGACGATCTACACGAACGATTTTCAAAGTGACTTTTGGTTCATTCGCGTAGCCAGTCTAACGCTTCAAGTATTGTCTGCCATACGGGGTGTCGCCATGTGACTAGAATGACACAGTGATAAACCCTATCAATGACATAGGAATTAAGCGCTCTTGTTCAAACTAAGAGCCTAAACGTCTTACCAGTGCCTCGGTTAAAATACTGGAAAAGGAAGCTATCATGATATATGTGGAAAACAACCACTTGTCACCCAATGCACATTAAGATTTCTGTGGAAATCTGTCATGCCCAATGGACCTACCAACAGTAAGAGAGAGATACTTCAAGTTTTGGAGATAATGACAAACCCATCAACATCGTTTTCATAGAATTCAACAAACCTCTCGACAAAGTACTGCACACTGGGCTGCTCATGATGATTTCGGAATAATGGGTGGCTTGCTCAGAAGGATGAACAAATTCCTGATATGTCGAAGACAGTCGTGAATCAAAGTCAACTGAAATATGTTTCCTGCTCAGGGGCAGGGGCGCTTGTTTCAGTGGGGACTAATATATAGTTCAAAGAGTGCCTATATTTATGATTCCTAGTATGGCTGATGCATCATCGGAGAAAGGAGTTAACACTTTAGTTCTCTTCCCTCTTTCCTAAAATAGACAGAGAGGAGATTTAATCACGATGTTCGAAATTCCATTGAATGACTGTGGACCTCATCTATCTTCTGTCTCCCTTTCTACCAGTTCAGAATATTTCGGAGGATTAACGTATGCTGGAAACCTTCCATTCCCAACTAGAATAGGAATCTAAACTAGTTTGCCAAGCTAACTAGTTCCCTTTATATTGGAAACAAACCTCTTATAGTCATGTAAATGATTTCAGTGTCTACTGCTATACGTGTTTTCCATCGTCACACTCACTCACGCAAATAACTACTCTTCACTGGTTGTAGTCTTCCGTTGACCAACCAGCCCTAACATTTCTCTGAAAATAAATGTACAACTTAGATGAGTAAGACAGAATGCAATTTCCCATCTAATAAACTATTTTTGTTGTAAATTTGACAGTTAAAACACTAGAAAAGATGCTTTCAGTTTTATTTTATTTGAAACTTCAACAGATCGCAGTATACATTCAAGATAGAAACAGACAGTCACATTGATAAACAAAGTTTCGATACTGTGTAATTAAAGATATAGACAGAATTAGTAATGTTACACGGATTATTGGAAAAGATTTCCTAGTATGTAGGATTTTCAGAGTGTAAATCCAAGGAGAATGTAGACAATGTATATGAATTAGAAAAGTACATTATAATTTAAATTATGTACGTTAATGTTTTGCTTCATTTCAGGTTCTGTCTCTTGACTCCCTGTATACAGACTGTATATTTACCTTCGATGTTTGAAATCAATCATCATTTCCTTGTTTTATTGCCATAAGAACACAGATGGCGAATATTAGGCAGATTGCTTGTAGGAATGCAAAAACGAATACGCACACTATGATGGCATTCATATTCTTTTTAGCCAATTCACTGACCCTTTTAATACATCCCTGGAAAGAGAAGTAATGGAAACTGAATCATCACTTGTACTTAGCAAACAATAAAGCAACCATTGTGTTATATTGAAAAATCGAATGTGGTTAGAAATGAGTGAATTCCGAATCCTCTTACTTGAATTGTATACCACCTAATTTGTGACAAAAAGCAGATGTTTCAGTTTCCCTTATGTCTAGGTTCTTGACCCATTTAGTTTGAGGTGCCGGTCACAGCACAGCTTACCAAAACATTCTACTACTTGTAGAATTATTTGCGAAAATTCTACTATTTTATCTATTCATATCTTGAAGTCAGTTAAGGTATCTTACTGTCAATTATGGATAACATCTGAAAATTTTATACATTCGTATACATATATAAGTCGTAATTCTCACGATTTATTTTTGGGAAGGCGCAACAGAACGGAGAGATAAGTTGTATTCAACAGTATATGGGTTTTAATTCCTTTTCTTCAGTAAATTTGTACCACTCAAAGCTACTTGAAATAATAATAATAAAATGTCTTCATAATGATATCCTGTAGCACTATTCCATCTTACTAATACCTATTCTCCTGAGAATGACCATAAATACTTACAATCCGCTTATTTCAAACTATGTGTTCATCTGACTCTTCTTTGTATGGTTATCTCAATTGTTCACCTTATAGGCGTTTATTTCATGAAATTTTTCATTTTATAAAATGAAATATTCACTTCGCACGACTGAAGAAATGCTTATTTTAAAACTAATTTGAATTAAAAAATGAATAGACAATGCGGCATAGCGTACGAAGCGGAAGCGCTTCCAGTATTTGAACGTTCGTGTTTACCAAAGTAGGTTCATCACATGAACACTTCAGAAGTGTGAGCCTCATAAAAATGCGAAATTTGCACTCTAGTCACTTACTCACACTTTCATGTGTCGTAAATAGTGAACATTATTAGTTTAGAAAAAAACAGAAAATGAAAATACTTTACCTCTTCATGAAGAATGATACCGTCATAACATGATGGTGGTGGAATCGTTCCATAGTCACCGGGTGATTTGGCACCGCAACATTGTAACTAGGTTGTTAAGCTTAAAAACAATATTCACCTTACCTTCTGCTGAATTTCGTCCAAAACTTTTTTTACATGTGCATCAGTATAGAAGCGTTTTACAAGTGAACTCAAGGCATCAGAAACTTTTTCTTTAATCTACAGTTTAGTAATTTAAACTATTTTTAACTATTACCTTTGGCTTTTGCTTAACTGCAATTATTCCAGCTGCTATCTGGCCAATAATTAAAATCACAAGAAGGATACAATACTACGGGGAAAAAGTGTCTCTCTGAAAGGAGTTATTTGAAATTACCGTTGTTAACAGACAAACACTTTTCGTACATGCGCCAAACATTCCTAGTGCTCCGAGAAGGAAAATAATACATCCCAGTGCAATAGTAAAGATTATGAGATATTGAAGAGAGGGCTCTACATCTTTCCAGTGATTAACAACGGAGCTGAGTGCATATGCACCTGCTGCAATGAGCCCAATGCCACATATCTATTAAAATAACAATCTGTGTTACAAACTTACAAAAACTCCAATATTGAATATGATAAGCAGTAACTGCAAGCATCTGTATCCGCAGCTCAGTCCCATTTTTGAAGATGAAACATGAAAACACACAACAGGTTTTATATAGTTGACGATTTTAACTAAAAGTAATTGATGAATTAAAACAAGCAATGCCCACGCCAAATTTCATGCTGTGAAAAGCTTGCTTGAAGTGCTTCTAAAATTCGCCTATATTGTGCGGTAAAAC